TTGCCTAATTTTAATTTTAAGATGTTACGTTTGATGTGGGATGCCCCTTTGTATTCTGTAAATATGTTTTATTATCATTGGTTAATAAAGAAGCTGTTTTGGAAGAAATAACAACTCTTTATTACATTCTTTTTTGTATAGGCTGAGGTCTAGATGAACTCAACTTTGCTGTAGAAGTAAAATTCTCGATACGTTTACTTCTAACATATTACACTGTGTCTAAATTGCAATACTTCTTTCTATTATTTCAAAGTCAACAAATTAGTGATCACTAAGGTCTGAATCCTTATGGTCTTCAAAGATCCCTATCCTGGAATCCTATCCTGTAAAGTGATGGCATCCAGGAATTCTCATAAGCAGTTGACTCCATCCTAGGGATGGAGTCCATAAAAGAGCAACCCAGAGAAGTGGTTTAGACATTTCACCGTGTGAAGGTCCAGTCAAAGGAGCTGTTCAGATACTGTATGTGTTGATATATAAATCTGTTCAGCCTCGAGAACTGTGAGGGAAAATGTTTGTTGTTTATAAGTCATAATACGCTATTTTCATTTTATCAGTCTCCAAATACAAAATAAATACCTTTACTAACATCTGAAAGATGTATTTTATAAAGAAATAAGGCACAATCATTGCTTTTTCACATATATACATACACATGTATACACATACACACACACACACACACACATATATATATATAACACAATAGGATTAGGCAAGGAAGTATTTGAGGACCATTTTAGAATTCTGTTTATCATAATGTCAAAACAAAATGTTACTTTTATTCTCTAAGTGATGTTGTAATAGTATATATATATACATATAGTTTGATTTAATGTGTACATATTGTACATGTACGATAAATTTCTTCAGTAATAAGGAAGGAGAGTGCCCATACATAGGATGAAGTGGTGCAGGACATATCATCATTTGCTTGGCCCTGAAGATGCTTTTTGAAAGAAACCACAATGACTTTGTGTGGCACTCTGGAAGAAAAGTGGCAAGAGAGAAATGAAGATGACACTCAAAATAGAAAGCAATAAGGAAATGATAATAAGATTTTGTATATCAAGAAATTAGTTTTGCCCTTGTGCTACCTGTGATAGGCTTCTGATCTCTTTTTGTGCTGTATATGAGGCTATGTTTGGTATCCTAATAAGCTTGATAAAGACCATATTTATCTTTGATGATAATGTTTTTAGATGCATAAAGACTACATAGAATTATAAATAGGCTTATATATTAATATATTATATGAAATATGAAATTATAATAGTGTTTTAATGTAATAGGAAATAGGACTTTAATAATTTACTAAATCAAAATTGTGATAGATATAGTTTGTGTTTATGGAACAATTACTAAACAAAATTTAAAACATCTTTCTTGTGATTGACAACTTCTGCTACAGTTTGGCTGTGTATGAGAATCATTTTATAATTGAAAGAAATACCAAATATCAAATTTCTGTTAAAATAATGCCAATTTATCTTTAAGGTTAAACACTCTTGTTTTAGGAGATAAAGAGTACTTCTATCTGTTTTATATTGCTTTACCAATAATATAGAATGAACAATTTATTTTAAAAATTGTATTTATGTTATTATTCTGGAAGTTTTGAAGTCAAATGGGATTAAAGGGGACCTTGTTGGTGTCTAGCATCTGTTGAGGGATTTCTTGCTTCCCTCCCAGTGATGGAAGGTGAATGGAAAAGCAAGCATATGCAGAAGATGAAACAGCAGGGATTGGACTTGTCACCACAAGAAAAGTTACCCCTTTCTTGTGCTAGCATTTATTCATGAAATCTCTACCGTGTTGACCTAATAATTCCTTACTAAGTCCCCCCTCCAACCACTGATTATTAGGGTATACATTCAAGCTATAGCAGGATAGCTAAGCTGTTTGAGATAGAGAGATAGGAGGATGAAATAGAGGGAGCTCAAGAATGGAGAAGAAAATTCAGAACAGTAAAAACAGGAAAGTACAGAAGAGTTTTGGTGATTATCCTCACAGAATTTACTGAGAGCAGCGAGGAAGAGAGTCAAGCCTAATCTAATGCCAAGACTTGTTGGTTAAGGATATAGGCTCTAGAGATACTATTTTCCTCTCCCTTCTTTTCTTCTTTGTATGATGAATGTTGAAAATGTTTAGCAAGTACAGGAAGAAAAGAAGGGAGAGAGAAAGGACAATGAAAGGGAAGGTGGAATAGAAGGAAGAGGGGAAAGAAGGAGAAAGAGACAGCTATAACAAGACATAGACACACACACACACACACATACACACACACACAGAGAGAGAGAGAGAGAGAGAGAGAGAGAGAGAGAGAGAGAGAGAGAGAGTGTTCTGGGGAGAGAAGGTGAGTAATGAACCTATTTTGTGAGAAGCAGAGACAGAGGAAAGAGCTGGGTTGAACACTAGTGTTTGTCAAAATGCTGACATGTTGGAACAACCATTAAGAAGAATGTAGCATGGATTTTCAAAAGAGAAGTAAATGACTGTCCAGCATCATTAACGGTTCATCAATGGTACAACTGACATGGGAAAGCTTAAATTTCTTTTTGGTGTTACAATTCCTTCTTCCCTGTTGACTTCTTCCTCCTCTTTCTCTTTCTCTTCCTCCTCCTCTTCTTCCTCTTTCTCTTCTTTTTTCTTTTCCTTCTTCTCTTCTTCTTCCTCTTCTTTTTCATTATATAGGGTTTAATATGTTCTTTTTCAAGGAAGTAAAAAAAAGCATAATTTGACCACCTATCAGACTTTTGCTTTTTTCAATAAAAGTATACTAAAATTACCATAGTGTTAATACACGGAAGGCAAGACCATTTTCTTTTTTGTTGTTAGTCATTTTTTTATGTTTTTCAAACAAACAAAGCAATAAAAACCCAACACTGCAAAGAACAAACACATATTTATAGTCTTAATGCATTTTCTGTATCATCTATATTGATGTCTTTTAACGATAGTATACTTTGCATTTTGAGATTTTAGATGTTCTTCAACTTTTCAACTTTATTATTTTTCAACACTGCCTTACAGTAACTCCATGAGATAGACAGCATAGTAACCCGTATGTCAGATGGAAAACCCAAAGTAGAAGATCACTCGACTTCTATGCCTTTCAGTCAACAAGTCAAATATCAAACGTGAAATAAGAAGTACAAACACTGCTATAAAAATGTTTTCCATTTTTTAAAGAATTCTTGAGTTTTTTATGTTTATTCTTATTTGCATTAAGTTATTGTTAAATTCAATACAACTAAACATGGAAATATTTAAATCAGTATACACGGTTTCACAGATACTTATACACAAAAAGTCATCACAGTATTATGCAATATAAATAAAATTACACACAACGAATCTGTTGTTACAGAATTTACAAAAGAAAGAATGAAAACTTTCTGGTAGGCAGATTTGCTTTCACATATCTACCAAAAGAGGAGCTTATCTTAATTTCAAAGAAAAATCCAACATCAATCAAGCCCGATTTTAAGCTTTTACCTGCATTTTCTGATGTTGTCCCATCAGCCCATAAGTCACGACCTTCTTGTGCTTTTAGCTCATTAAGATGCAAGTTAGAGCTACTCAGACTCTTTGAAAGTTGTGTTTGTCTTGGATACATATGTTGCATATAAACACAGTTACATGTAAACTAAACCCAAAGCAAGTTTTAGCCATAATAGAATGGCTATGCCACAGCTTCTGTGTGCTAAGTCAGAGTAACAAATGCAGGTCTCACATTTTATGGCTGGAGGTGAATAAAGATGTATGGCTGGAATTCTAAGCATGATAATCATCATCCTATGACTACTTGTCTGCAGCAGACACAGTTCAAAATAAATCCAAGAAATACCATAAAAGTTATTTTGAAGATCTAATACTTCATCTGTTCTTTAACAATGTAATTTAAGGGATTTTGAAATTATTTGCATTTCTTTAAAGAAGTATGGGCATTTAAAAATATAAATATTGTGTTTTTAAAAGTCCAAAGAACATTAATATTGAACCTGAGAATTTACTCTGTGCAGTTGCTATTGCAAATACTTTACCTGTCTTAATGCATGTAATCCTCAAAAAATAAAATTGTGAGGTAGAATTTTATTTACACTATACAGATGAAAGAGCTATCCGAGAGATAATAGGGCATTTGCATAAAATCAAAGTTCATGATACATTGGTCTATCTCAATCTGTGTTCACTAATACTGTGCTCACCACTAGGTTTTGAACTATAGTTAAGCCCTTTTGTTGGGGAATTCACTTACTGTTATTAGTGCTCAGTATGTAGTAAGCACTATCCTTTTTTGCATAAGGCCCTCCTCATCTGACATTTTGATAGATATATGACTTGGCAATGAGTGATGATTTACAAAAGCATCAGTAACCATATGCTCATGTTGGTATTTCAAAATAAGTATTTGGATAATACACGCTATCAAAAGTGTAGTGTGCGCTGCTACTAAACATCTCTAAACTAATTCTGCTTTCATCTGCTTTCTTTTTACACTAGTGGAAAAATCCTTATAATGGTTTTATTTTTCTCTTTTCTGGGCTGATTACGATTGATATGTGGATGGCAAGATTCTGCTAAAGAGTAAGCCAGAAATGCTTCTTAAGAATGCAAAATGCTCCCTGAAGCTAGTGCTTTGAGGGTATTCGTGGTATTATGGCAAGTTCATATGCATTTAAATAAAAACAATTCCTGCGGTGGAGAATAATGCTCTGCTCTGTCAGATGCAAACCCAGGTTAAAGTTCAAGTTTTACTGCCGGTTCAACACTCCTTCATTCTAGCAATTGAATGTCCAGTCACGAGTTCTAAAATGCTGGCGTCTTGAATTCCTAGAGAAGGTGTTAACTGATGTTTATAAGATGAATCCTGGGGCTCGATGTATCATATGAGGTAAGGTTGTAGCAGCCTGGCAGCTTTTATATCCTGAGGGAAGTCATTTGTAAGTGTTTGTCACCTTGAGGCGTCACCCTTATAAGTGAGGCATCGGTGTTACCTGTCATTAGCCATGTCTTCTTCCTTCTTGGTAGAAAGTTTATGTACATAAAAGCCACCTCATGGTATTAAGTTAGTCTATGTCTGAAGAGTTCCTTGACATCGGCAGAAGCATTGTTTTAACCCCATGATTCTAAGTAATAATGTACAGTCTGCTGGCATCCTGCTCCATGGGCCGCGACTATAGCTCCCAACTCTCAGTAATAATGTACAATGTGCAGGCATTCTGCTCCGTGTGCTGTCGCTATAACTCACGACTCTAAGAAATAATAGACAATCTGTAGTCATCTCTCTCTGTGAGCCATGGTTATAACCCACAAGAGTCCACTCTAGATGCCAGTCTTGGAGGCTATCCAGTCTCGGTACTTAGTCACTCTTGTGTAGACTCCAGGCTTGTTTGGAAGAGCACAAGATTGTCCCCAACTTACTATGCCCACAATGTACCAGATGTCCCGATTGTCATAAACCAGAGGCCCACCAGAATCACCCTGGAACAGAAACAAATGTTCCAAATTCAAAATCATTATAACCATCTCTTTTCCACAGACCTTGCCTACACACACACACAAACACACGCACACACACACACACACACACACACAAGAAAACAGAAAAGGAAATTTTTCTTTTTAGTAGAAAAGCAAATATATGTTTCATATATAATATTTACATTATTTATGGCTTATCATCCTTGTATTTTATTTGTTTATTTAGATATGCTCTGAATATATATTATGATAAGACAATATTTTATGCACATAAAATGTCAAATATGAGACTGTTATTTATAATAGTAAAGAGAAAATTTAAAGGTCACTTGGGAATACTATTGGCCTGACTGATTTGTTACCTGCTCTTGGTCTCTTTTTCTTTTTCTCATCTATTCTAATTTATATTTTCTTAGTGAATTATAAAAGTTCCTTTACCTCTTTTATGTAATGAGAGAGATTAAGTATACAGATACACTTACAGAAGGTAAAAATCTGTTCTCAGATGATGAAATGCCTATGTTTCAGGCCCAGCTCTAACAATTATGGGTGACCCTGAGCAAAATATTGTAACTTTCTCTGTTTCTCTCACCTCATTCTCCCATTACTCAACTTACAAAGGTGTGTGTGTGTGTGTGTGTGTGTGTGTGTGTGTGTATGTGTGTGTGACAGAGAGAGAGAGAGAGAGAGAGAGAGAGAGAGAGAGAGAGAGAATGACATACATGTGAGTTTGCTCAGAGAGCTTGAAGTATAGATTAAATAGGCTGATATTTAAATAAGTCCCAAACAAAGACTAATCATAACTACGGTAAGTGACAGAGAAACTGAAATAAGAGCATTTGATTGGTCAGGATGTGCGCTCACAGTCCATCCCCTGGAGATGCAATGATGTTGACATGAGAAGGTAGAGCAGTTGATTGTGCATCAGACAGTGCTCCTGTATTGCATTCTAGACAGAGGGAAAATTTTTGAAAATGCTCTGTGGTGTGAAGAAATCTGGGATATGCAAGGATTAAAAAGATGGAGTTAGACAGGGAAAAAGTACAGAAGAAGTATGTCAGAGACGGGATGAGACTGGCAAATGGCACAGGGATTACTATGAAACCCTGTGGACCTTGCTTAGAAAGCTTTGTTTTGTGCTTTTAAGAACAAAATGCAGGTGCTGAAATATTTTAAAGAGGTCTTTGACATAACTAGAGTAGCATATTACAAACATTGCTGACATTTATCTGGCAAATGCACTAAAATACAATAGAAAAAAATGGGATGAAGAACTGGAAGTTATGAGGTGAGAGAAAAGAAGAGTGAGGGAAGAAGAATATAGAAATGGTAAAACAGGAGTTATAAAAAGATAAAAAAAATCCAACAGATTCAATCAGCAACTTGATATGGAAAGAGGAAAATGTTCTGGAAATCATTAAAGAATCAAGAGAAGACAATGTTTCAAGAAAAGGGGGTTGTAAGCATTAAAGCCCATAATAGCTTTAAAGAAAAGAACAACGTCAAAGATGCCTGTTAGAATTTAACTTGCTGTCACTGGTGAGGCATTAAGAGGAACTATTGGGAGAAAATAATAGGGAAAACCCAACAGTGGTGGCTGACAGTGTTAAAGGAAGTGAGAAACAGAGACAATAGGCATAGACATTCCTTCCAAATATTTTATAGCAAAACAACAAAGTAGGGTTCTATCTGGAGGCATCCATCTAGAGATTTCCCCACAAGACATTTGAATAACAATAATAAAATGAAAACAGTTGCAATGTAAATGTTTACTGTAAGAGACTCAGTCAGTGCTAATGTGAACTTCCCCCCCCCCCCAAGGCCAGTGAAAACAGGAACTTGAATGGAGAAGGAGGGATGAAGAGATGGGCCATAGAGGAGAGGTGACTTATAGAGCTCTCCCTTGAACAAGAGTGGCTTGAAACTACAAGTCAGTAAATGGAAAAAATCTGTACAAATTCACAAATATGGAAGGAATCCACTTATAGACAACCAGTGAGTCACAAGAGACATACAAAAAGAAATTAAGAAAATACTCGGAGAACAACAAAATTGAAACAGTATCCCCAAAATTTATAAGATACAGGGAAAACAGATGCATAGGGAAACTTATTGTGTTGGATGGCTAGATCAGAAAAGAAAGATCTCAACTCAATATAACATCCCTTGAAAATGGAGAAAAGTGAACAAACTAAGGTCAAAGTTGGCAACCAGAAGAAAATAAAGTGCAGAGCAGAAATAAAATATACAGTAGAAAAGCAACAAGAAAAAACACAGGAGTTGTTCTTCTCATTGTTCTATTAACAATAGCTGGGAGATGGAGACACCAGATGCCTTTCTACAGATGAAAGGGTCATAAAAATGCAGTACAACAGAATTCTCTTCAGCAGTAAAGAAACACAAAATCATGAAATTTGATGGATAGAACTGGAAAACATACTAATGTATAAAGTGGGGGAAATTATATACTGCTAACCATATCTTGCTACATTGAAAATAAATAATAATATAATAACATAATAAATATAAACAACAATTAATAAAATAATAAAAACATTATAGTAAAGGTGCTTTGCTTTGGGTTTGTGCACATTCAGCGCTCAGGACAGTTGTTCTATTTTATGCTAAGCTCAGAAATAGCTAAGAGAAGTTTCCCTCTGAAGGACTGACTTTGGCTTTCAACCTACCTTACATGCATCTACTTTTCCTTCCATGAATCCAGCGCACAGCATCCCTGGAGTTATCAGGCCGTCATATACTTCCTTTCTGTTACACACATCAGTGCCTATGGTTTCCACCCGGGCTTGCCGGAGTTTATTCTGTGTAGGCCCTATTACACCGCGCAAACAAACAAAAAAATAATGTGCTTTTCAAATATGATTGGACCTCTAATACAGACTAGAGGTAAACTGTGTATTTTTAGCAGCCAAAGCACAAAGTATTTTATGTATATTGGTTTATTCTAAATTGTATTTTCTCTAATCCTACAAGAAATCAAACATACAAGCCTCAGAACTGTATCATATTGTTGGTTCCTCCACAACATCTTTTAAAACTGCACACAGATGTTAAATGAATACAAGACTTTTCATGCTAACACACCCTGCAGTCTTCACTGGATGTTCAGAGAGTTCAACCACACTAATCTAACCGAAGTTGCATTACAAATTCATTATTTTTTTCAGCTAATATTAAAGTAGAAACCAGGACACAACACAGAGAATCATTCTCCCTGGTGTCTTTTGCAGGGAGGGAGGTGGTTGAAACAGGGTTCTTCTGTAGCTTTGGAGCCTGACCTGGAATTATCTCTTTAAAAGCCAAGTTTGACATATATGGGATATATGAGAAAAATTTTCATAACAGGATTCTACTAGGCTAAGTGCTTCAGCATGTGTCCCGTATCCTACTTCCTTCAGTGTATTCTTTTCTGGGGTTCAAGACAGAGATTTTCTCTGTGTAACCCTTGTTGTTCCAGAATGTTATCTGTAGACCACGCTGACCTTGAACTCAGAGACCTTCCTGCTACTTCCTCTGAGTGCTGGAATTAAAGGCCTGTACCATCATGCGTGACTTCTTCAGGAGACTCTTCGTTCAACATTAAATGTGTCATTTTTATGTTAAGTATTTGATCAGTCCCTCTGTGTGCAATAAATTAGTATTTAGAATTTGTAAGGTTTAATTTTCAATTTATGAAATTCTTATACTTGGTATCTTTAAAATTTTCAGAAGAGAGTATAAAGGGAAAATAAAGAAAAGATGTCAAAAATGGGATTTAAAATATATGTAGGTAAGAAGGATTTAGATCAAGGAAGTATATAATTTGTTTTAGCTACTTCTGTGTTTGTCCTTTATTATATTCTTTAACTTATTCTATTCTTTTCTTCTTTATTAGTCTTCGTCCTTCGTTACTACTCTTTCAATTGTGAACTCTGAGACAAAGCTATTTCTTTTACTTTTCAACCAACTTACAGTTCCCCATTCCAAAATCTTTGCCATCATTATTAGGGTGTATGTACATGAATGTGTGTGTATGTTATAGCATATGTGTGTGAATATGTTTTCATGTGTGTATGTATAAATATGGGTGCAAGTGTGTATCCATGTACCTGCATGTGGAAGGTAGGGATTGATGGTCAATGTTTTCTTCAATTACTGTCACCTCATTTTTTGAGACTTATTGTTTGAATGTTAGGTTCTTTCACTGAATACTGAATTAATTAATTAATTACAGCTGTGAGCCACACAGTTGGCTTCCATGTGGGTGCAGAAGACCCTAACTCATATCCTTTTGTTAGCACAACACTTTGTCAACTGAGCCACAGCCCCTGCACCATTATTTTTAAGAAAATATTTGTGTATAACAAAAAATAGGATGGAACTACTCACCGTCATCTACAATAGACCCAAATCCTGTGACAAACACACTTGTTTTCGGTGGCAGTTTCATAGATGCATCTGGGAGACAGACTCTTTGAACCACGTTTGAAAACTCTACACGGGTTGTGAGCTGGGCTAGAGCAATGTCAT